CCTGTTGTCGGCTGCAGGCGTTACTTTGCGATTCACCCCCCCGAGCAGCGGCGCCAAGCAGCCCCCGACACCGCGCCGGCACGCGTTTGATTAAAATGCAAAACCTGATTCCATTTTCCATTTGGTCATAAACAAGCGGGTGGTGGGTCTACCCCCCCCCCCTTTCTCTCTTTCTCTCTCGGTTTCTCTTTCTCTCTCGGTTTCTCTCTCTCTCTCGCTCTCTCTCATTAGAGATGAGAGAGAAAGAGAAAGGAGGCTCGGGACGGAGCAGAGTCCCATTCTCTTCCTTGCTTCCCAATAGTTTGCTGCAATCTCTCGCTTGAGCGATCTCAAATTACCTCTTTCTCTTTCTCCAGGGATTCGCACCCATCCTTTTTTTCACCCTCTTTTCTTCGTTTGAGGAGCGCACCGGTAGAGAGGAAGGGGAGGGGCTCGCTGGTCACCGTCGTCGTCAGCACGCGCGACGACGCCGACGAGGGTGTTTCCTCTGGGCTTGAACTGTCGGTTTTAGAATCACCTTTGCGGAGTGGTGGTGTTTTCCTCTTTTTAATTTATATTTTGTTAATTGTAACCCCCGGCCGCAGCGGAGGTGTGCGAGGTGTTGATAAGGAAGTGGTCCATCCGCACCTGGGTGGAAGCGGAAGTGGAAAGGGGAGAAAAAAAATGGGGGGGGGGGCATTTTTATTAAGAGCCGCCGTCAAATCCGGCGCGATATTAGCTTTATGTTTATTGGTTGATTATGAGGTGAAGCTCCGTGTTTACGATGGCCCTTATCGCTGAGCTACACCGCCGCAGCCGGCAGAGCCTCTCCCGTTCACTTTTACGCCCCGCGCCGCCGCTGAAGTCCTCTCTGCTCTTCTTACTTTCTCACTAAAACCAACCCCTCCCCCGCCCCTCCTCCCCCTCCTCCCCTCCCTCCTCACTTCAGGTTCTGCTCTGGCTTTATTGAAAAAAAAAAATATTTCGCTAACGGTCGCCGCGCCCCTTTTCTCGCCGACATCGCCGTTAAACGCCATCGTTATCGGCGCTCCGGTCGTAACTCTGGTCGCTCAAATCATTTACTCGCCCGTTATGAACTCTGGTCGGTAATGCAAGTCGTCATCGTCGTGACAATCGTTAATTACCGCGGTCTTGCGTTTTTACGACAGATCTTGTTGTTGTTGTTGTTGTTGTTGTTGTTGTTGTTGTTGTTGTTGTTGTTGTTACTCAAGCGTGGCGGACTTGAACGGGTCCGGCGGCAGAAGCAGGGCTTCCAAATAAGCCGAGAGGGTTGCGGGGAGATGAGGGGGCGGGGGAAGGTGGCGGGCACAGGGAGAGAAGCTAATTTGTGGAATGGAACTCCTTAGTATTCATAAGCGATTAATTTTAAATGGCGGCCGGCAGGAGCGCGCGCCGACGGCGACGGCGACACCCCTTGCTGGGCCGGGTACGTAGTACTTCCGCGCCGCTCCTGGTGGGGGCTGCAGTTTGCAGCGGGGGCCTAGGGGCGGCCTTCTTGTGCACGGACACTCTCCTATCGTGTAGACGGAGAACGACGATGCCAGCTTGTGTGAGTCGGAGATTTCCGCCTCGTGGACTTTATGCCCCCCCCCCCCTTGTCTCGTATATCTAATCGGCAGTTAGCACACGTCATTCTCAGACGCCCCCTCCTCCCCGAGCTTGGACATTTAAACAGGACCTCTCATCGTGAGGGAGGCCTCCACGGGGGCGCGAGCGACATGCAGCTGCCTGGCCTCTCAGACGACTCTGCTCTCAGACGACGCGTCATTTCTTCTGCTTCATTCCTGGATACCGGGTGATTCAGAGAAGACGCAGGTGCGAGCGGGTTTGCCTACCCAAGGGGCCATGGCGCCTTACGGGCAGAGCGGGTAGGCAAACCCGTCTACACCTGCGTCTTCTCTGAATCACCCGGTACGGCCGAGTCCTAAGGGGCCATCCATAAAGGACCGTCCGGTCGTTAGGGGGAGGGGGGGTTAGTCAAAACCGGACACATCCGGACGGGGGGGTACGGGGGGGTCTGGACTCCCTGGACGTCCAGTTAAACTTAGGTTTTTAGCACAACGTACACTCAGAAAGTCGTAGTCTTGGTTCAAGAGCAAAATTATCTTAAATGAATGAAGAGCAGTTTCCTCTTAATTTGAGAGCAATTTCTTTTGTTCTCAGCCAAAAACGCTTGGTTCAAGCACCAAATAAGCTTGGACCCAAGTGCATCTGGTAGCCTACTTGAATTAAGCGTCTATTGCACTTGGGTCGAAGTTTATTTGAAACTTGAATCAAGTGTTTTTGTCTCATTACAAGAGGAATTGCTCTCAAATCAAAAGAAAATGCTCCTCAACCATTTAAGAGAATTTTGCTCTTGAACCAGGACTACGGCTCTCTGAGTGTAAAATGTGGAAAGGCTCTTCCGGAAACTTTAAAATGACTTAGTTTTACTCTGAATAGGCCAAAACAAGACTTTTTTTGTGGATGTCACATTCAGTAAAGATCATGCTAACAGCGATCATTTCATTTTCAACATTTTCAACCTAAAAACAAATTTTTTTGACCTGTATTGCAATTTTTAGCTCTTTTCATTTTTTTGCTGTTTGGTAAGGGGGGGGGGTAGGAATTTGGACGTCCAGGGGGGAGGGGGGGTACCCGAAAACCGGACACAACCGGACAGGGGGGAGGGAGGGGTCATTTTTGGCAAAAACGACCGGACGGTCCTTTATGGATGGCCCCTAATCTGCTCAACCTGGCAACCCTGCCTCGCCCAACCTTGGCCTCGCCCCGCCCGGCGGCCCCGTGGCCCCGTCCCCGTCCCTTGTCCCTTGTCAGTCCAGTCAGTCACCATCAGGCTCTGCTGCAGTCGAGTAGAGGTTCAGTTCAGAGCTGAGCGGGCGGACGCGGGCCTGCTCAGAGGAGCTGCAGCTGCACTACGCACCCAAACGTGTCCGATCGCTGAGTCCATGAGTTAGTCGGATCATCGAACGAACTCAACCGAGCAGCTACAAGGTAGGCCTCTCACACTGGTACTGGTGCGTGCTGGACTCAGTCGTCTGTCTTGTCCGCCGTGCGCACTGCTGGCTCCGTACTACAGTCTCGGTACCATTGTGTCTGCAGCACACCGTGACCATGTCGCCGGCCCTGGAGCAGCTGCTGCCGGACGACGTGCTGCTGGAGGTGATGCAGTACCTGTCCGTGGACGACGTCTTCGCCTGCCGCCTCGTGTGCAAGAGGCTGGAGGGCCTGGCCAGGCACCCCAACGTGTGGCGCCACCGCCGGATCGTCGAGAAGCACTGCTTGTGCCCGGTGCTGCGCCTGGCGCCGTGCCTGGAGGCGCTGGAGTGGTGCAAGCAACGTTCATGCGAGTCCTCATTCTCAGCGTTGGAGACCACCAAGTGTGCCGTGACATCTCTTACCCTTGCCTTACCGACATACTCAGGGTACAGTAATTACGACCATCGTCCGATTCGCACGTATGCGGGGTTGGAGATTTTCACCCAAGCGGTGCGCAACCAGGCGGCGATTGGACATCTGAAGCACGTGGCCGTGCAGTCTAGGCCGCTCCTTGATGTCGTCATGGAGGGAAGCATTGGATATGTATTATTACAAGGTGGTGACGCGTTCTGTAACCTGTTGGCGCAGTGCCCTTGCCTGCTGTCAGTTCGTTTCCTGCTCTGCGTTCCTGCTCTGACCCGTCCTTTGGAGAGCGGGCCGCCCGCGCCTTCCCTGGTGGTTTTCGAGTGCCCTCTCGCTTTCAACTCCGATTCCTTCTTGATGACCATGCTGGCGGGGCACGCGGCCACGCTGGAGGTGGTTAATATTTCCCCTGGCCTCATTATCGATGGTGATCTGCTTGAACATCCCAATGTGTCTAAGTTGAGTGAGATACTGGCCAGCATGCCCAGACTTCGAAGTCTGAAGTGCTCTAGTCTACCTAGGCTCGAGACTTTGGCAGCGAGTAAGACACTAAGAGACGTGGGCTTTTATGAGAGTGGTGTGTACGGACTCCAGGGTGAAATTGTGAAATTCCTTCGTGGCGGCAAGGAGCTTCGCGCGCTGTCCGTGACCGGTCACTACCGCTTCGACTACGTGGGCATGCTTGACGCAGTCCTGGCCTCCTCCGGACGGTCACTAGAGCACCTGTCCCTTGGCGATCTCCAAGATGTGCATCAGCCCCTGGTCGAGGCACTGCCCCGCCTGCCCGCCCTGCGTCAGCTGAACTTGTTGCAATTGTATGATTTGGTTCGACTCGACGGACTGCTGCTGGGCATCACGCCCCTCACGGCCCCAAACCTGCGGAGGCTCGAGCTGGAAACCTCCGACTGGGAACCGTGCGCCCACCACTGGCTGCACGGTGACGCTGTGAGGGCGGTCTTCTCGGCCAACCCCGCGCTCCACATTCACCTTTGGAAAGCATCGCATTGCAATCCTTACGCTGTTGAAGACCGCTGCGGAGCCTGTGCCTCGGTCTGCCACCTGGAGGCCGGATGGAATTTCCTCGGCCGCCTCGTCCTCTTCGCGCATGAGCCTGGCAAGTGTCCCGCCCCAGAGGACCACACTGCAGACAGCAAGTGGAGGAGCGTCCACATGCCGTGCTCATCCGCCTGACTTCAGAAGTTTACTCTTTCTGCCTGCCCATTGTTGTCTTATTTGCTAATGTCAAGTAAATTATTGGGCATGCATGGACTTTTGTCAACAACATTTAACTGCACTTGTTAAGAAGCTTTGCTTTTCTTTTTTTTCATTAAAGAAAAACAAAATGTTAAATTTTAGTAACAAAAGTGATTTTGCTATAACGTTAACAGAGAGACATGGTGCACAATTATGTTACATTTTTAGTTCTTTTCTCTTATGTCTCTTGAATGTAGGTTTATTCTGTGTTGTCTGATTATGTAACTATATATATGTGTTGTTCTCATTTACTCTGCCTCGAGCTCTGCCTTTTGTATTTCTTCATATTTAAGGGTTTTTCATTGCTTATTGTGTTACCCTCCACTGCTAATATTAAGAAATTGCCATGTGTTCAGAACATTGTTATTATTTTTTATTAACAGTAACTTGTCTGTTTCCTTGTGGTCACTACCATTCCTCTACGGCGGACCACACAAGTCTACAGGTGAACAATCTGTGGTACTGCGCCAAAGTCTGAATAATGGCACAAACCTGCGTCAAAGTTTTTGTCACATGCTCTTACAGCTTTATGCTCGAGTGTCAGTTAACTTCTATTGTGTTGTTCACATATACTGTTGAATAAATTGTGTGCAATAATGCATTCATTCTATTTCTGTCATCTCCGTATTCTACCGAAGGCGCAAACACTCGACCTGGGTGTTCCAAAGCCATCACGTTTCGAGTGGTGGGCATTTGCGAGGAGCACTTCATTTGCTATTAAATTTCCCCCCCTTTTCCCCCTTGATTTTTCCAAATCTTCCTTGTTTTGCTCATTTTTATCTATTTTTTTTCTGATTTTTCAAATTATTTTTTTCGTTGTTGTGTTCAGAGGGTGTGCTGTGCACTTTTTTTCCTAAAATGAGTAGAGTACCCTGGGTTCTAATTTGCGTGGAGTGGTTGGTACCGCCGGGGGCCCGTCCGTGATGAAGATAATGGTCGCCGCGAGGCGCCGCGTTAATATTAAGGGGGGTCCCCGTCGGTCCCCGTATCAGCGCGTAATGAGCTCTCCGTGGTTAAGCCCGCGCGGCGGCACAAGGAGCAACTTTGTGCCATCCCCGCCCGAGGTTGATGGTTCGAATCTCGCTGCAAGAGGTAGGCGCGGCAGAGAGGGGGGAAATGGTGATTTTCCGCCCACATGGACTCCCATATGGCCGCCGCCGCACGAGGAGCAGCAAGGGCACCACAACCTCGTTGACTTTGGGCCGCACCGCACCATAGCAGGGGGGTTGTTTTGTTTGTAGGCGCGGCGGCATTGCGACAAGACGCCACGCCCCGCCACACCGCGCGTTCATCTTATCAGGTTGTCAAAATTCATTTACGTGCTCGGGCTGATCCCATCCCGCCCCTCTGCTGCCTACTGGGCCGGGCGGCGGGGGGCTTCTCTTCTCCTTTCATCCCCCCCCCCAAAACCGGACACAACCGGACAGGGGGGAGGGAGGGGTCATTTTTGGCAAAAACGACCGGACGGTCCTTTATGGATGGCCCCTAATCTGCTCAACCTGGCAACCCTGCCTCGCCCAACCTTGG